AAGTTGCGGCCGCGAAGCAAAATTGGAGCAGGCTCGTTTCTTGATCGATTTCTCATGCGTCGAGCCGCCTCTCGGTTATCTCTCCTTATCTTCGAACCGGTTCGATCCACGGATCATCCTCCTATTTGCCCTGCGGCTACCTTTACGAGAGGCGAGCCCTTCGATGACTCACTGTGTATATGCAGAGCCGCGATTAATAACGAGCCACTACTCGCGTGGGTCAGCGTCCACGATCCGTGAAAAAAGGAACGAGAGGAATACACGTGCAGGGAAGTTTGTTCGAGATGCGTGCACTGTTGATCGTGCGCAAAGAGGATGAGAGTAAATTATATTTTGTTGTTGTTGTTTGTTTTGTTTTTTTTTCCTTTTTTTCTTTTTTTTTTTTAGGATGAAGGATTTACGTTTTTCTTGCTTCTTGAGATGAAAACCTTACGGATCGCAGCGTGAAGCATGGTGTATGATCTCGTGATGATCGGCTGGAGATCGTATTTTTCGATCGAATAATTTCGCCGAGAAGAATTTGGAAAAAAAAAGTAATATGGAGAAAATTATATAGAGCAAAGAATCGAACGTTTTGCGTTTATAACGTATCCAATTGCCGACAGACATTTTTATCCTATACATTTCCTCTTGTTATTAGTAATTATATTTTAATGAAAATCCTTATTGATTTTGCATCGTGAAATCCAATCATCGCAGTTTCACATCATCGCTCGATCCGATATAAATAATATTTAAGAAGAGAGGTTTAATTTGATGATATTTTAACATAGAATTCTCTGCTATTTTAATCTTTGCTCGACCAAGGCCGATATCGGGACGATTTAATTGGGAAATCGGTGGACGACTCTTTGTGGACTAATTATATACTTTACCAGCTGCGTCTCGAGTTTAATTGAATGGAGGAGTTTAATAGATTGGGCGGAGCGAAACCGTGCAAACACGATTAGTTTTGGGGTTGATTGTCAACTTTTCTGTTGAATGTATGTTAACACGAGAAGTTGATACAAAGTTGTGCAAATAATGGGATTAAATAAATAACAGAATGATCGAGCATTGGAAGATATCGAAATGCTATTGGAGATATAGATAAAAGGAATTTAAAACTTTTTATTGTTTTGTTTACCGATAAAAAGCGCAAAAGATGATCGCAATAATTGCAGTTAACGCATCATCTTAATGTCACGAGGTTTTTTACAATATCTATAATTGCGCGATAGTTACACAACTATTGCAATTTACATAATTGTCTGCGCAATCATATGATGCACATATGTTTGGAGACAAGAAACAAATATTCGTTACTGCAAACATTAGATTATTTTATTTTTTTCTTTCCATGAATCTTCAGAACCATATAGAAAAATATAATCTCGATTCTCGAGCCTTAAAAAATTATTGATCCAATAAGGAAATAATAAATTCAACAATTCAGAAAATTCCTATTTTGCTGACGAATTATTATATACACTCGCATAAAATTCTCTTAAAAATTACCACACATCCAATTATAATGCAACATAAATTTCTGCATTAAACTAAACTTACACCTCTATTAAATAATAATTCGATGTCTGCCCTAAATATTTAAAAAAAATTGCAATTTATTTCCACGAATATTTTCACGAACATCTAAAAGAAACCTAAAAATCCGACGAGAGAGCGTTGCGCAAAATCCCTGGATGATAATAGTTTTCAAACACCACCCACGTGCAAAATCCATCTAATCGAGGAATCGATACTCGGCTCTCGAAGCCAAGAGGTCGATATATCGACACCGAAGATCGCAACGCGGATTGCAACACCCGCGCCACAGTGTTTATCTTTTAATGGTGGATAAAGTTATATCCGCAAAAAGAGCGGATTTCCACCGGGTTCCACGAAGATATCGTTCCACTCTGAAAAACTCGACTCTTGTTCTATGGCGACATCCAGCTCGTAATTCAACAACCGCGGTTACCCACTAACCTTAACCGACCGACTACTGCGTGAAACAGCGATAATAATGGCTGGCCGATAATGGGTCACTGCCGGAGAAAGTTTTCGACTCCGTTACATACAAGTGAAGACGAGGCAGGCCGAAAACGAGGCTCCACGAGGATAGGCGACGCCCATCTTCAACCGATTTCCCGATCTGGGTCAACGATCAATATCGATCTATCCGCTCTCGACGAGATCTATCGAGGATTTGAGTTTCACTATATACAGCGTATATATGTACGAAGGCAATGGAAATCTGCTAATAACACGATACAATATTTTTGCGCGATTTCCAAGTAGAATTTCCAAAGAAATGGAAAGTATATTTGAAAGATATGTGAAGATCTATTTGTACCACTTGTTTTATCGTCTATGTCGTACCAATTCGAGTTTCCATATAATATAAAGATGTTTATTATATAGTGAGTTCTCCAGTTACAAAAGAAAACGATGAAATTTCGAATTATCGAAATAAGAGAGTTAAAACGTAAGTTTTAAAGGTTCAACGAGAATCGCTCGATGTATTTGCTTTTTCGTTCTTTCATCACGTAATTCATCAACCGTAATTAAAGATTCTTGCAACGTTATTATATGCTACTCGACGATATATATATCTAGCAAGAATTATTTTATCAAAATCACGGTATAAGGACGAATTACGCTCACTGGGTCCCGTTAGATAGTTGGCGACGTTCCACGGTAATGGAAATGCTCGATGGCGATCCTTGTCCTCGGTTAATTACGATTAATTGGCGGCCGGTAATTACGCGAGTTCCTCGGCCGCTAAGAGATTTTCCGCGAAACGCGGCCCTTCGCGCTTCGAAGACTTCTCAACGCCGCTAATTGCGGACACCTGTTCTAATTGCCTCGAACAATCGAACGCACAGCCGAGAAATGCACGGGGAACAATTGGGATTCGACGCGATGCTCCTCCTTTCGTGTTTGCGCGATTGGAGGGAATTAATATAGCGGGTTTCCTGTTATAACAGTGGACCGGATGAGAGTCGTGAGATGAGATTTCGCGTGAATTGGATCTGGTGATTTTAGGGGAGATAAAATTTTTGCAAGTTGGAATGCTCGTTACAGTGATACAGGGTCTCTTTTTGTGGTGAGTTTTTTTTTTGACGATAGAAGTTTTTTTTAGTTTTTAACGAAGAATTATTTTTAGGAATGAATGGAAAATGCAATGATGTAAGTTTATGGGAAGAGAGATAAATACAGGAAATAACAGAGATAAGATTTTGTATTCGTTTAGTTTTCTATCTATATCGTGGGAATCTCTCGATATAAATTTCCAAGATTTTATGAATAATAATTCGAAAGTGTAGATATTATTTCGTTAAAATTTCATTTTACTAATTATTACAAATTAAAAGTCATTTTTTTTTTTTTTTAAGACGAGGAAAGCTCAGGATTCGTGAATAATAACAATATATTATAATCTTGGATGGAAAATTAAAAATGTTTATGGCAAATAATCACGAAGAGCTCAAACATTCAATTATAAAAAAAAAAAAATAACAACAGCATAATTCAAAACACAAAGACCTCGAACATCCTCAAACAAACCTCTCCGTATCTTCCAACAAACTTTCCATTCATCTCACCGCACAGATTAATCTGAAAGAAAGATAAGTAGAAGTTAAGAAAGGTGATGCTCGATCCGTGCAATCAGTGAACGTAGTTGTCTACGTTCCAACACGAGGAACCTTGAAATCACTTATGACTGTGATCGCGCGCCGATTTCCCTGTAATCTTGGAATTATCGAAGGTCTGCCACGGAACAAGAATTTTCCTCTCCGTTCCACGACCGCGTACACGTTCCACGTGTACTATCTCGGCCCTAGTATTGGATGGGAATGGCTTGGATTACCGCGATGGTGACGCGATAATGATGATTACCGCGCTCGTCCACGGACCACGGGGGTATTTTTCACGCCACCCCGTGAAATCGTACACCGGCGCGAGCGATTACGATATAAATCGATCTCGGCTTCATTGCCCAGGATTAATAGCGGATAACGGAATCGTGGAATAGTGTGCACGTTATCATTGCACGAGATGGGATTTAACCCTTTCGAGACCAGCAGAACATCTCGAAAGAATTAAATTTGGAATTATTGTTGTTGGAAATTAGATATATCTTGAATCGATCTATTTTTGCATTGTTGCGATCGAAATTCGTCTCGAAAGGGTTGATAGATAATGGTGGAAGAATCTGTTTGACAAGGAAAATTAAATTTTAAGAATGAATAATTTTTTAGAATTTTATATTTGATGATTAAAAATATTAATTTTTAGGATTCTATTTTCCAATCTGCGCTTTATCATTTTCAAAGGAAATAATTGAAATAATTTTCGTTTTGTTATTGATCGTAATGCAATATTGGTAATTTTTATGTGAATAGAGGATTGCGAATAGATAAAGATTGGAAAATATTTTAGAAAATTGGAAATAGATAGTTCGATGTTAGAAAAGATTCTTAGTTTAGATTAGATCTTTATTTAATTTTAGAAAATAATTAGAAAATAATATAGCTCCACAAAAGACAAAATTCCCAAAATTCCTTTCCAATCTTTATATCAACTTCCAATAATAATCCTTTTTATACAATAATAACCTAATATTATCAGTAAAGTTTCACAAGTCGCAAGTAAACCAATTACTATCTAATTACTATTATTCAAAGTAAAATCACGAATGAGAGAGATCTACAATCCACGACAACTTGTAACTTGTCAAATCACCAACGTTATCGATAAACTATTCTATTATAGAAGATATACCTATGAAACGCAGAAAAGAAACGTGCTGCCCTCTTAGTGTGAAAACTCCCTAGAATCCTAGAGATCCCTAGATCACAGAACACAGAACGAACTTCTAAAACAAGGAAAACGAGGGGGGTGGTTCGATCGGGTCGAATTTCGCGTCGACGGGAATGAAATGCAACCCTATAATAAGACGTTTTGACGGACGATGGGGCTAACACGAGGCTTTTTCTCCCGGCGTCGCGACGCAGGAGAGCGACGGTGGTTGCGATGGTAGCGACGCCGAGATGATCGGTAATGGGAGACGCGGAGGCGGAACGGAAAGGGATCGCGATATGGAGGAGGATGAGGACGAAGGAAGGGAGGAAAGGAGCTCAGAGGGTGGAGGTGGTGGAGGTTTCGGTGGTTGGAGGTCCCACCTGCTCGGTGGGCTGACGCAACGTGTCAAATCCTGGTACTGGGGCGCCAGGCCCCTCGTAAGTTTTAATATCAAACGAACCATAAACACACAAAAGTGTCTATTTACGCACAGATATTTTTTTTATCTCTTTCTTTTTCCCCTCCTCGATTTTTCTCCTGTCTTTCTTACCTCTTTCCTTTTTTCTTCTTTTTCTTTTATTTTAAAAATTAATTCCTTTTCTTCTCTCTCTCTCTCTCTCTCTCTCTCTCTCTCTCTTTTTCTTTCTTCTCATTGTCTCATTTAAGAGCTTCGAGTCGGTTTAAAGGATGGCGCGGAGATTCTCGACGAGTTTCCTTGAAACTGAAACGACTGTCTTAACGAATCTCAAGTGTTTTAAAAGCCTCGGGGCGTTAAAATGCTTCGAGCAATGCAAATTTGTAAATTTTCGTTCAAAATTTCGACGCCTTCGAAGCTTTTTATTTTTTTATTTTTTTTTTCGCAAGAATCGAGGCGAATCGTTTCTCTTTAAAAATTCTGTGCGAAAATTTCTTTGCGACTCGAAGTATCGCGCGAATTATTATTTGTAAATCGAGAAGGGATAAATGATCGATAATTGTCATTAAAATTTTGCGGTATGTGAGAAAATGGGAATAATTTTCTTCTTATTTCTTGGGTTTCGCTATTTCAATTTATTTTTCTTAAGTGATGTTTTATTGAAAACTACGCGAATAAATTGAAATATAATTTTATATCGCGTGCGAGATAACGAGATTTACTTAAATTGGGAAAATTCGAAAATGTCAAGAATCACAGTATTCATTTAATCATTAGTAGCATCTCGTTGCTTCAGAGTTCATTTTAGATCAATAGCGAAATATTATTCATCAGAAAATTAATAATTAATAGATAAGAGAGTAAATTAGATGAAACATTAATTAGTAGAGATAGTAGTATTAAATAGAAATTTCCAACATAGAACTTTCCAATTGAGAATTCTTATAATTTTAATTTTAAACCAAGTATATCACCGTATTTAAAAAAATAATTTGTAGAAAATTCTTTTATTTTATAAAGAGTATATAAATAAGTAAAATCATATTCGATATCCATCCAAATGTAAAAGTTATATCTTAATTTCGTCATCTAATTTCAAATCATGGAATATGACCATCCCCTTTGGCATGAACTTCTTTCTCCCAAATTAGCCTTTCTTTTATATTTTCCCTCTCTCTATATAATATTTTATATATAATATTTCTCACTATTTATCTATTTGTTACTATTTTTTTACTTGTTTCTCTTTTCCTATTTTTCACCAAAATTTCAATTTTCCTTTTTCTGCTCTTAGAGAGTTAGCGAATTTAGTCGAAATAGCGATAGGTGTGTACGTGTTTTTTCTTAGATGTCTTGCACATGCTACTTTCGATTTGTCCTTAACTTATATATTCAACGCACGACTACTGTAATATCTATGCAACGTATATATAATTATAACATTGTATTAAACAACACGATATAATTATATATACAGTTTTGAACATATGTCAAAGTGTATTTTTTATATAGATGTCTTGGCATGCACGATCACTTTACTCACATCAAAAATACAGTATTAGCGATAATCGAGATTACCTTCGTACATACAAAGGATAAATAAAAGAGTAATTTGAGAGTAAAAAATTTTTCGCAACTCTCGAACTCTCGTTATTCAAAACGCACTTGCGAAAAAAATAACTCTCGAGAGCTACTCTCAAAGATTTTATTCTCAAATTAATTCAAACCCAAACGGAACGTAGAGATAGCACACCTATACATAGATATCATTATTCGTTTCATCCCGATCCCGAAGTGTTATAGAGACTCGTAAATTAGAAGAATTAGAAACGTGATCGTAGACGGTCGATAGAATCCGCAACATAGGAAGAAAGCCTCGATCGGTAATAGAAAATAGGTAATAGACGACGGTAAATCAATAGAGAAAGCGTAGAGAGAAGTTTTCACCAAACGTGGAAGAGAACCGGAAAATCCGACGAGTTTCAACGATTAGAGTTTCAACAAAGATGAACGTTCACGCGTCATTTTCCTTCTTATTATTATTATAATTTCATATTTAATTATTTCTTCGAAGGAAAAAGTCGAAAAGTCTTTTTTTCAGTCCTTCAATTCAACAACTCCTAAATTTCCACTTAAAATTATTCATTTTCTTTTTTCTTTTTTTATCGCACGAACGATTTATTACTCAAGATTTCTTCTATTATCATTTACCGTTACTTTTCGTCAATTATTCGATTACGATTCGAGGACTCTGGAATTTGGCCGCGGTTAGGAAGAGAAATTGAAACGCACGTGCGTTCGATCACGAAACACTTTCACCGCTCGCGATTCGCGCGTTTCTCCGCGCGAGGAAGTGGCCGGCCGCGAAACCTCGGCTGCGAATTCGCTCGATTTCCATGCCTGTCGGCCATGACCTAGACAGATCCGGTTGCATCTGCGTGCCGGAAATTTGACGCGCGCGATAGACGGTCGGATTAGACGAGTTTCCAAACATTCTCTGCATCTCTCGAAACCGAGAATTTCAGGCCGAATTCCATCGTTCGACCAACATCTTTAACATTCGCCTCGAGTTGACCCTCTGGCATTACTCGTCGAGTTAGGTAGCATTAACTGGTTAGGTATTCTCGAAACGACTGGAGAGGGGAAAAAAAAAAAAAGAAAAAAATAAAAGAAAAAAAAATACGGAGCTCGCTTTGGAAATCGAGCAAACGAGGATGAAGAAGTTTCGCGCGAGAGTTTCGAAATTCGTGAAACTCGACCAGTTTGGCGAGGGAAGGCTGTTGCGATTGTCAGGCATTCCATTTCTGTCATCATCCGTCTCGTGATATCTCTCTCGTCTTTTTACCCCGCACGATTGAAAATTGAAGTGAAATTTCGTTGATGTCGTTCGTGCGTTACGAAAAAGATGATCGTGCAATCGGATGTTTGTTTGAAAAAGAGACAGAACAAGAATTTGATTCGATCGATATATAATCAATATAACTGCACGAAAAACACCACCACTACCACCACCACCACCACTCTGTCCGAGCACCACCAACACCCAACTGCTACCAGCCTATCAGCAAGCATGAAACTTAATTTTTTAATATACTCTTGTGATACCTATATCGATATATATATATATATATATCTACATGTATATAAATATAAATATTATATTTATATTTATTTTTATATATATATATATTTTTTATTCATACTGTTTTTTTTTATTCCTGTCACGATGTTGTGATACGATTGCATATAGGTAACCGGGAGAGATGTGCACCGTTGTGGAGAAGAGATACCCGGTAGGCGATGCAAGTTGGAATGTGAAAAGAGAATTTGGTGAAACTTCGAATAGATGATATTCATCCTATGTGTAACGATATTGAAAAGTATCGCATCGAATTACATTTGTATAAATTTTTATTCGTGATTGTATGGAGGTGTATCTATCACTCTTACACTTCGCACGAATCGTGGTCAGGAAATGTTTCGAGGCGCAAAATAACAGTCGTTATACGTAGATTACCCGTAATGGTAACGTGTTTCTCGTCGAGATAATGGTGAAAACTTGCCGTGTTACCAACTTTACAGACTACCAGGACTCCCTTCGACTACAGCGTGCACACGAACTTGTCAGCATCAGCCTCCTTAGCTCTTGTGTGCTGTCATCGTGCGTGTTCGAGGTGGCTTTGACGGGCTGCGTGACAGTTAACCGTGATTCAAAAAAACGCTTTTCTTTTTAAATTTTAAAAAACGCACGTGTAATATAAATAAAATTGGACAAATCGTTATCGTTTCAATGGCAAATAATTATTGTAAAATATTCGGGAATAATCGTAATCAAAATTACTAATGAATCAAAAGTAAGCGTTGAAATTCGGAAAAAGAAAAAAATTTCAAGAAACAAAGGAAGAATATAAATGGAATATTGGATAGACTGTCACGGTGCTGCAAGGTCGACCGGAAGCGAGGCCGGGTTCTCAATTTCCGCCGAATGAAACGAAGCTGTGCCCGTTTCAGGAACTCGCGCAAAAGCTCTCGCGGAGCTTCGACATGCAGGAGGCTCAGCTCCTCGAGGAGGGTGGTTCTGGTGGCGCTACAGCGGGTGCTGGGGGTGCGGGTGGCCCGCCGCGAAGGCATCACAGCGCTCAGAGATTGACCAGGAGCGAAATATCTGAAAGAAGGGAAGAGGACGGCGCGTTGGTGGTCCCCGATCACCAGGGCAACCTGAGGATCACCGTGAAGAAGACCAAGTCGATTTTGGGCATTGCCATCGAGGGCGGTGCCAATACCAAACATCCACTGCCCAGGATCATCAATATACACGTAAGAAATATTATACTTGCTTCTTACTTCCTTCGTTCGATAATTCAAATTTCAAACGTAGAACGTAACAAAGAGAAAGGAAAAAAAATAATTTTGATAAAATTTTTACAATAAAAAATTGCAATCCAAAAACTTGCAAATCGAAAGGAATCTTCAATAAATGAAAATGTCGAGGCAAATATTTATAGTCCGAAAAGAAATTATCGGGAAGCTTAATTAATCAATCGACGTATTGACAGGATAATGGGGCAGCTTACGAGGCCGGTGGCCTCGAGGTCGGTCAACTGATCCTAGAAGTCGATGGACACAAAGTGGAAGGTAATTACCTTTCGATTAAACTTACGTCAATCGAATCGTATAAATTTTAAAATTTGAACGACAGGTCTCCATCATCAGGAGGTAGCAAGACTGATCGCGGAGTCGTTCGCGAGGCGCGATCGCAACGAGATCGAGTTCCTGGTAGTGGAGGCGAAGAAGAGCAACCTGGAGCCGAAGCCGACAGCGCTGATATTCCTGGAGGCGTAGCAGGAATCTCCCACCTCCGAGCCGGAACCACCGTAGCCCAACCTGACCAGAGCTCGGCCCGCGACACACTTGGAGCGTCGTCGACGCTGAACCGACGTCATAAGAAGCTGAAGAGATCGATGATGGACCAGGAAATCGATCATCAAGCTCGTCACCGATCGAAAACGATGCGGAACGAGAGTTAGGAGGACGACGAGCTTGCTCTTCATCTTCATCGAACGCTCCCGATTCGACGGTCGAGCTCTTAGTCAGGTGCTAATCGAACCTGGCCTTGGTGGTGGGAATTCTCCAGAGGAAGAATAATACAAAGAGAGATAAAAGAGAAAAAGAAAGAGATTAAAAAGAAACGAGCCACATGGGGGGAGGGGGGGAGACAGAAAGAAGATGTTGGGTGGCGAATGAAACTCGATTAGCGAGTCAATTGGATGATAATTAACGCGTGATTCGCCTCTTGTTGACGAGCCTTAGGGCTAACGGGACTGGCATTGAAAGCTTCTAACCTTTACCCGTGAAGCTGTGTAACGAGAGGTGGCTCCGACGAGATGAGAATCGTTCGACGAGGAATAAACGTGGAAGATCCGATGAAACACAGGAGTACAAAGGAAATATAGTTGAAGATCTATTATTATAAAGGAAAGACGCTATGAGTGCGAGGATAACGTTACATGGGAGTTGGAAGATTGACTGTGCCAAACTATTAAGGATTGTTTCGCGTATATTAATTACGATACCCTTAATCCTAACGAGATTCAATCAGAGACTCTCAACCAGAGAGTAAGAAAAGATTCACAAGTACGAGGTACCATTTGTGGGATCCTGAGTGCTACGAACTTGTGCTAACACCTCACGATGACGGTGTTACGCGTGAACGCTCTCGGATTATGCTCGAAGCACGAACACGATCACGAAGAAAGGTTTTCACGTGCACGAGTCGAACGTGCCACGATTATGAGACACACGTGAGACACGGTGGTTCACTGTTGACTAAAATACGAAGATCCTATGGACGGTGTCGTCGGTCAGGATTTTCGTCGATTCAATTTCTCGTTGGCTTATTTAGCGGCGGTGATGACAATCGGTGTCGAGAAAAAAATTATAATTTCAAACTGATCCATATATACATGTATATATATATATGTATGTATGTACGTATATATATGTATTTGGTGCTATTGTCTCAAATTTTTCAAGTTTTCAATTAAAAATATTTTATTTCTAACCTTAAATTTTAAGCCTGTTAGAACCTTCGACTACAGATGCCCGAAACTCTATTTTTGCACATAACCTAGATAAGCGTTAGTACGAAAGTAAATCAACAGGCGGCGTTGCATGCAAAGATCGAGGAGCAAAATCGACGAAAATCCGAATCGAGGAGAGGCAGAGACTAAACATAGACTTATTATTGGGAATTGTTGAGGCTTAACAAAATATATTATATATACACGTATATTATATGATAATATTATTGACTATTGTAGTGGAATTGCAAACTTGTACCTACCCGATCGCACCTCGCTCGCCGACTTCCGGTCGCGCGGTCGGTTATCGTGAAGAGCGCGCAGAAGGGAAAAACGGAGAGGATTCTATTAAGGATAATTGCGATAATATTTTCAACGAATTAAAAAAAAATAAAAAATGAAAAAAAATAGACAACGCGTACTTAGCAATGAGCCTGATCGTTCGAAATTTTCGAGGAGTCGCGGACGATCGCGGCAAAAGTTTGTGCAAAAATTTCTTATTCAAATCGTGGTCCGAGGAAAAGAAAGAGAAAAATAATTTTTCACGACGCGCGAAATTAATTATCATTCGACGACGAGATAATCGTTGCTTTACGTAGTCGAATCGCGATAGTGGAAATAGCGTTGTTGAAAGCGACGATTCCTTTCTATTCGAACCGTGCTCCACGCTTGGAAAACTCGAGCGCACTGTATTTTTCGTACAAAGATATCTCGTGCTTTTTCACTTCGTGGTCTCGTTGTGGATCGCGTCGTTTAGACATTTTTTACGATGAATCATATAGAGGAGGGAGGGGGGGAGAGAAGATTTTTCTAAATGAATGCAATTTGTATCTTTATTGTACTCGATGTGATTCTCGAATTTTTCGATCGTGGCGCACGATCCCGTCGATTTCACCGGTCGTTAATTGGAAAAACAAGGAAGATAATTTATTACGTGAGTTAGTAGAGCGGTTCCTATTAATTTCATTTATTTAAATATTATAATTTTTTCGTATCCATCTCAGGATAAAAATGATTCATGATTTTTTAGAGATGGAATTTTATTTCGCTCGTTTCATTGAATAACAAGAAAGTAGAATTCGTACGTGGTTTGCGTTAATGGAGAAGGGAAGAAAGTAGAATTAAATTTCAAATTAAGTAGAAAGTTTGATTTCCTACGATGGAAAACAAAAAAAAAAAAAGAAAAAAAAGAAAAAAAGAAAAAAAAGAAAAAAAGAAAAAAGGAAGATCGGTTTCAGGAACTGGTTTGTTAAGAACGTGTTTCGCCAACTATTTAAATAACGTAATTGTTACCGCAATAATTACATTTACATAAACGAGTAGTAGTATTAATAATTATCAATTCGTGAGTATAACGTAGCGAACGTTGTTGTAAAAGTAAATGGTTATACGTCTTGTTTAATATATCTACCTGTTACCAAGTTAAATGTAATTTTACTAGTAGTGTGTATAAGTTGAATATCGATGAGTCCACGAGTCGTTTTATCGAATAAAACCGATGATCGTCCGCGATTTTGCTCGCTTTTAAAGAGGAAAAAAAGAGAAAAAAAAAAAAAAAAGAAAAAAAGAAAGATAAAAAGAAAATAAAAAGAAGTAAAAAAAGAAAAAATCGCGAAAAAAATACTGTGCAAGCTTAAATAATTATTATCGCGTATGTGTAATAACAGCAGAATCGGAAGGCGAGCCGATGAGAGGAAACGAGAGGCATCGGTGATTCAAAGATTCGAAGAAAAAGGTTTCTTTCCAATTTTTGATAATCCCGTGTTATTTATGAATGTGTTATTTAACTTCTCGAACTTCTCCTTAAAAAGATTCTTCTATCTCGATTCTTTGTAATTCCAAGGTTAAAATTTGTTAATTTTCAATGAAAAATTTTCACCGTGAACGATCAAAATATATTATTGAATGAAAATAACGTTAACTATTCTTAAACGTTTGAAAGGGAAAAAATACATTGAATTTTTTAATCGTTGGTGTAAACTAACCAAGAGAAGAACGTTTTCAAACGGTGATGTACCTGGATGCGTGTACAACGTATACCGGTAAATGTGCCAAAGAGTAAAAAAGGACAGAGAAAAATCAAGAAGAGAAAGAAGAAGAAACACGGCATAAAACTCAGAAAAGTTGTGCAAACGATCGTAGATGGGAATCATCTGTCGTGTGGACGAGCAAAGAAGAAAAAACGATTCAAAAAAGAAAAAGAAAAAAGAAGAAGAAAGTGTTTCGTTGCTGATGTGCACTTGATTTGTTTTCCTCGTTATTTTCTAGCGCAAAAGTGCAATTGTAACCGCTGTCTCGAGACGATTGTAAGAACGACAAATGAGGAAGAATAAAAAAAAAAAAAATGAAAATGAAGAAACCACGAAAACAGTAAACGCGGCTGGCTGCTTTTCGATTAAGCGTACATACAAAACTAAAAAGATACCTCGTGTATTAACGTTTCTCCCTGTTTTCGAAGCGAATTTTTCTAACGCAGCATCCGACGTCCCTGAAAAAAAGAGAAACAAAGAAGAAATAGAAAAAAGATAAAAAAAACCAGCGAAACAGTAGCCGACTCTGTCGACAATTATATTGAAAAAGAATAAGATAAAGATGAAAGAGTAGGAAGATCATGGAAAGTGGGGCGCGAAAAGAAGAAAAGGGGATGATTATTTTTGTAAAAATGCCTTCAACGCAATCACAGGAGCGATTCGAAGATCTCAGCTGACATATCCGACAATGCCTTACCGCTTTGAAGAAACGAGAAGAATAAACGTGAACAATGAAAAAAGAAAGCGAACCGATCACGATCGAAAATGGAAAATCTCGCTTCAACTTCTCTCAACTTGATCAACTCCCCGTGGAAACGAAACGAGGAACCAGCGGCGAGCGATTTTTTTTTTTTCCGATCTTTCGATTTTGCTTAACGATCCGATGCGACGTTGATTATCTTTCTGGTCGAGGAGTTATGTAAAACGAGGAAAGTGGGGAAAAACTGGTTCTATCGGTCTCTATTCGAGATGGATAAGTTTTCCAGCGTTGTTCGATGATCCATTTTGCTCGAATTTTGTAAAATCGTATTATATATCGATCCTCAAAGGAAAGGATTTATCGAGGTTGTTCTCCTTCTCGTCGATAATAAGTGGCTTTTGAAAAGAATTCTCCAAGCTTCCTTATTAAAAATTCGTCTAAATTTAGAGATAAGAAATTTTGAAAGAATATTGTCTTTCTTTTTTTTTTTTATTTCACCCCGATAAATTGATTGACTTTCAATTGAGAACGTAATCGGTAAGTTTTTTTCATCGGATTTGCAACGGAATATATCCAAAAATAGGAAATGGAAATGGAAACGTTTAAATCGTTTAAAGACTGCCAAACAATTACCACGTACATTTAACGAAGCTACGTTATCTTGCACGATGTACGCTTCACGGTCGCTGATCCCTCCCTCCGATCCCATCGAGGCAAGAAGAGAAAACATGCTAGCTATTTTTCCACTCCCAAGTTCCCTTTATTCGTCTGGCAGACGGAAGTTTCGAGCGTACGTGTCTCAAGGAAAACAGAAACTGTCGCTCTCGGTTGATCGCTTTCCAATTCTCGAAAAAAGAGCAGCGAAAGAGAAAGGCAGAATGCATTCGTACCAACGAAGATCATCGTGACTCCCCTTCGATTCCACGATCTATCAATCTGTCTACGCATCGATTCAGAATTATCTATCGACTTTTTTCTTTTTTTATTTGATTCGACGATAAATTTTGATGGAACGAACTTGGAGATGATGATTTAATGTGAACGAAAATCGAATTAAAATCGGGTGACGACGATCGATCACAATTTTAACGACGACGATTTTATTCTCAGGGAAAATCGGTTTCGTTACCGATTTCCGGTAAAACAGATCGAGCGATCGCGCTTAATCCAGCGTTGATGTCTCCGCGTAGTCCGTGCTCTTCTCGCCACTTTGACGTTTTCTTTCTGTCCAAGATATTCGACCTTCGATTTGTCTTTGCTTCTTCTTGTCTAGTTTGACAAACTAAGTTGTTAACGTTGTTCGAATATTTGGAATTGATCTTTTTCGATCTCGAGGAAAACAAAATTATCGTTATTACAACGAGGCTGATATCAATATATATTTGATCATTTTCTAGAAGATTAATAATAATTATTACTTGAGAATTACACGTTCAAAGATGCAGACACTGCTCGATACAAACGATCCCTCAATTATTCTTTTCTTCTTTTTTTTTACGAAAAAGAAGATTTAATGAACCAGTTTCTGTGAATAAAATTACCGTGTATAATTGTATATAATTTAAAGTCACTAGAGAGATAAAAGAAAATTACTTCCAAAGATTCAGATCCAACAGGCACGAACAAACCACGAAACGATTAATCGGCAATCGATTCGAATCAATCAATTAGACCTCGAAGGGGAAGCAAGAAAGCAATCGAGCAAAACCAGTCGCGATAGATGTATCGATTAGAGGAGAACACTTTAGACGAGACACAAACTGGGTCGCGTCCACGAGAACCTTACATTATTTAAAATAATAGCGTTGGGCCCGTTGTGTGAGGGCCTGTCACAAAAAATTGCGCGTGTCGCGCTGCACAGTGAAGAAAGAGCGTCGTAATCTAGAAAAGAGCGATTTATTTTTTCAACGAACAAACAGAAACAAAAGAAAGAGAGCGAGAGCGAGCGAGAGAGAGAGAGAGAGAGCGAGAGAGCGAAAGAGAGAGAGAGAGAGAGAGAGAGAGAGAAACGAAACGAGAGAAACACACGGACTCGTAATACCACGTTAAACCTGTTCAGCTTTCGCACGTTCACCATCCGCAAACTTGCTTTTTCTCGATCGGCCGTGGAACCGTGAGTGCGGGCGAGCATTGAAATCGATCCTCTCCGCACCGATCATGGAGATCCGATCACGTGATGAAAGGTGAGACACGGATTTCGAGCAGGGGAGGAGGCACGTGACTGCGTTCGAAACGCGATTTCCTCTTTCTTGCGCCCGAGACAAAAAAATGGGGGAATTGATTTCTTAGAGATCTTGGAGATGAGGCGATCTTGGGTATCGTTTAGAGGAAGTTGGTTACAAGGAGCTTGAAAAATAATAGAGCGATCGAATTAGAAATTAAAAATTCTACGAGTATCGGATTTAATTCGATAAGAAGTTAGTTTTACGTTTTACGAAGTTTGAGATAAATGAATAAATGATTTACGTTCGATTCGTGGAAGCGAAAATGAATTGGAAACTTTTCCAAAAAATCCAGGAATAAAACGGAGATGAATAGACAGATAAATTCTAGAGACAAAGTTGTAATTATAGAAAAGAGTATTAAAGATTCGAGAGTAAAAAAAAGAGACGTTTCTCTACACTTTCTTAAACGTCAAACGCGAAAAATTCCTCTTTCGGAATGAAATCAATTGTTGTTCTTTTGGAGAAAAAAGTTTCGAAAAGGCTCGCATTCACGGTGCCACGCGAAAACTGAAAACTCGATCGACAATCGAGTGATTCGCGTGGATCTTTAGCTTCTAAGCTTCGTACACACACACACCCTCGCAACAAATCGTCGTGAAACGTGCGAGAAAATCGAATAAGAAGAAACGTGGCAAGGAGCGCGCACAGGATTCGCGAGGCGGAAATTATCGAGGCGTGTCGCGAAGAAACGAATCGACTGTGGTCATTGGCGGATAAAATCGCTGATCGAATTTTAAATCAGATGTAACTGTACTCGTAACGTTTCAAATGAACACTCTGTACATAAGCAAACCGCTCGTTCATACCGCGTTTCATAGATCATCCTTTTTGCAGCCGATTTCGTACACCTTTAGCCGACACGTATACGACACGTACTGTAGAGAGAGAGCGAGAGAGCGAGAGAGAGAAAGAGAGAGCGAGAGAGAGAGAGCGAAAGAGAGAGAGAGCGAGAACAATCACACGCATACATACACACACGCGCGCACACATACAATGCATACACAAAGAAATGTGACACACAAAAAAAACATAAAGACAGAAACGAACGTTCCAATGGATGAAAACGACGTAGCACGTCGCGTTAATTAACGAACCATCGATTAATACGCTCATCGTCGTGGAACGGAGATAGAGAGGAGATCGTATGGATGAAATTGTTACACCAGTAACATGTATACATTGATACATTAGAAGTATACAGGGTGTAAAAAAAATATGTTCGAACGATCTTATCGGATTCCTCGTTATGCAATCGTGTTGCAGGAAAAATTAGATTTCTAGGTTCGCTTTCGTTCTTTTATTCTGGAATAAAAAAAGATTCTGCTATATTTAAATCTGCTTGAAACTGCTGTTAATTTTAAATCGTCCGAATAAACTTCTTCTTTTTTAAATTTTCATTTTAAGTAAATGAAATAGATATTGATTATCTAAATAAAATTCTTTTCTAGATTTTTTCTTATTTCGTTTGTGGATAGACTTGCAAGGAATGTTTTTTCTAAACTTCTCTTATTGGCTTTAAATAAAGTAAGAGGTAAATTAGATTAGATTCCACGAATCTTTTCTAATCTTTCTAGAAAAGCATAATGTATAATCAGAATTTTGTTTAACTTTTATAGGATAGAAATGAAGGATTGTTGTTCGATTTTTTATTCCCTGTATAATGTATAATAATTATACGTGGGTATATACCACACACACGATACAATCACGGACACGTGTAGAATAAATGTAAAGAAACAAAGAAAATTCATCGTTTCTCCGAGTGCAACGCGCGCGAACATATTGTTTGATTATTGTTATATCGTTGACGCTTTGTTCGTACGATTGTTATTGTTCATTATTGTTATCATTATTATTATTATCGTCATTGGATGTCGCGTGCATGATTGATAATCATCGCCAGCCTGTCGATTCTTCTTTTTGCGTCACGTTATAATCATTGCATATAATATAATTGCGATCGTAAATATTATTATTATTATTTCATTGCTATTATTATTATTATTATTATTATTATTATTATCGTTATTATTATTATTCTTGATAACATCATTACCGCGACGATGGCGATTATTATTGTAATTGAATAAAAACGTTCACCACGAGAGGTATGAATATTTATGAGTTCTCCATTTTTTATTTTCTTTCTATATTTTATAAGTTATTTATATTTTTTTCTATCTTATATTATCCAATTTTCTTTCTTCCTGTAAATTAATTAATAATTAAATGCAATGCATGAAAGTAATATCCAGTTGTTATATGAATAGACTTTATTAAGATTTTTAAATTTCAATAGGATTTTCAATCAAGTTAGGAAAAAAAGACGATAAACTTAATCAGATGTAGAAGATGTCTCTTGAATGCATAAATTTTGCAGAACAAATATAAATAAGGAGAAGAAATAGCGAAAGAAGGATAGATATAAGGTAAAAATATTGAAATCAGCGCCATCTTCAGAGTGCCGCAAATAAAACAGATAGAAAGAACAGAAAATAGTGGGAGAAGGACGGAGATAGAATAAGAATTGACTTTTGGCGCCATCTCTCGAGCATTTAAGAATATTACATTAACCGTTTACAAAATGTCCTATCGTATGACGTGAATGTGCAGATCATTCGTTATAAAATTTATCTTGTGAGTAAATCGATTTTTGGCACTTAATAGATGGCGTTGATGGTCAATTCTGAATATCTCTATCTTTCTCTCACTATTTATTGTCCTTTCAATTTGTTTCATTTGAGACACTCTAGAGATGGCGTTGTATTATAATTTTTAATTTATTTCTATTCTTGTCCCACTATTTCCTCTCATTGTCTACATTTATTTTAATTATAGATGTGGTGTTATTTAAGATCTCGTATTCCAAAATAAATTATAAGTAAAAATTTGTTAAAATCAAAAATAAATTATAATACATTAATGATGTAAGTTTATTAAGTTAATTACGCAATAATTATTATATAATTTGAAGCATTAGGTTTTTTATTAATAATTATCTAATATTCATTATCTTTTTTTGTTTGTTGCAGGAAGGCTTTTTTTGAAAAAGAATATGAAAATATCGCTTTTTATTATTTAAACTTAAAATTATCAAGTTTTCAATCTTAATTTAATTTTTAGCGGAAAAATGCAAACAACAATAACGTTAAATTATCATTCATATGGGATTTCTTTTTTCGATTTATGTAATAATCGTAATGTGCATCATTATTACATTATAAAAAAACATCATGAACATGTTTTACGCAATACGATATTTACAGTTTCGTAGAATACACGTGATGTGTAATCTCATTAAGAATCTCCAAGAGGGTTGCTGTCTAATTCTTGTGTCTTTATAAAATTACACGTTTAAATCATTGTGGCACGAGATGCTGGCATAAAAATATATTTACTTAGAACTAGTGAATTATATATGCAGTTGAATAAAGAATTGATAGTGAAAAGAGAGATAATAGAGGGTGGTAGAGGATGGTTGTACTGTTTCGAAGTGGACAAAACCTCGTTAATCGTGAATAGTGTATGGAGGAAGTGTTGGATATCACGTTATCAACTATATTATTGCTTAACGAGGATATATTTAGCGAGATTGATCGTTGCATTTTTTTCTGTTTTAATATTATTAAAAGTAGAATTTTGTAGAATTATAGGTGTATAGAGAATATATTCAACGAGATCGATCGCTGTTGAAGAATAAGATTTTTGGTATCGACACGAGGAACGATATTAATAATGCAAATTTGGAATTAATATTTAATAATTTTCTATTCACACATTGTTAAAAATAGATTTTTGTAAAATTAGAAAGATCTCTGGAGGGGATAAGAGAATTAAATCGGTTTGAAAATCGGGATTCTCGAATCAGATTAAATCATGGCGAATTTGAATAAGTTAATCATGCATGCAAATCCTTCTTGTACCTTTTTACGTGATGCGTAATTATCTATGGTAATTTTTATTTTCTTTCATCGATCAATTTAAAGTTTTACATTTTCTAATAGAATACTTTATATTTAATCTTCTTATAAAAATTGTAAAAAGACTATAAATTTAGTGATCAAAAGTTAATTCCACAGAATCCATTTAAAAAAGAAATGAAAATAGAATTTTGCTAAATTTTCATCAAATCTATTAAAATAATTATAATTATTATTGATGAAATATTATTGACATAATTATTAATTTTCGATTAATAAGAGAATTAATAACAGAAGATTCGATATAAAATTCATTAATCATGATGAAATGGCTATAGTTCGACCCCTCTTCATTAGGACGATGCTTATAGGATGTTTCGGTTCGATTATCGTGTATCGTGTTAAAATAAACGAAAGTACGAAATATGTGAATTAAAGATCCAATTTTACTAAATTTTCCTTAGAATTTGCGTATCAAACGAGCCGTGACTAGTCGCACATGTCGCTATAATTTTAACAGCGCGTGCCCTAAGGGCTGTGTGCCCCATTCTGAGGGGTGGCTCGGGGTGGAAAAGACCGCAGGGTTGCACGTGACTGCACGTCAGACCGGATGCGATTTTTTTCGTTTCGCTAGGGAATTGCCTAGGAGACCGTGTGTCTAATTCACCGCGTTAATATATCACTCAATGATCATTGTGAACGAAAATTAAGAATCGAGAAGGATGTTAACATAGGAGGGAAAAAAAGAAAAATATTTACAAGATAAAAGAGAAAAATTAAAACTTTTAAAAACACTTTTAAAATATTCCAGAATCAAAATGTTTCTCATTTCTCTAAAAATCATACATTCGCATAAAAAAAAAGAAAAATTAACCAAAACTTGCACAATGTTAACAATTCTTAAACGCTCGATCCACTCCAAAATTAACCCACGAAAATCATATCAATCGATCAAATTTCCCACTTCTCAATCCTCGATCTCATTTATCGTTCAAAGTCCGACCACATTATCCCCTTTTACACGATCATTTGAACAAGTTGAACAAGCAAGCGAAGTGCATTCCTCACCTTACAACTTTCAACATAATAAATCACGCGTTACGAGGCTACTGCCTCCATTGCGTTCCTCATCCCTCTAACGATCGTCTTCACGTGGCGGCAGATGCTGTGCTGCGCTTCCTGGTTCACGTACGCGTATAGAACCTCCTCCTTGCTTGATTTACGAACGATGAAAGGGGAGGATCGATGACAACCGGTGTACATCCGTGGAAAAGAAACTTCCTGGGACGGCGCAGATGGACAAGTATAGAGGAGAACGCACGTGCCACGGACAATGGGCCAATCGCGTGCAGAAGGGGCTCCTCGACACTTCTGGAAGCCACTTATTCGACAATGGGAATAAGAAGGCCTTGCACGTTTACCTGGATGAGGTAAGACAATCGAGGTGGCTCGTCTGGAGCGGTGGTCGTCCAGATAACGGATGTCTCCCTGACGAAATGGACGTCGAGGATTGAAGAGGATTGTGATTCGTTTCGATTTGAAGAGAGGATGAGAACTGTATGGATCGTTAAGAGAGAGAGAGAGAGAATATCTTTTACTATAAAATTTGATTTTTTGTTTAAAACAATATGGAAAAATTTAAGGTGATAAAAATGAAATGATCAAGTGCAGTGAAACAATTAATGTAATTTAAGTGGTTAAGTATACGTTGAAATGTTAAAAATTAAACAAGTATATAATTTAAAGATATGGATAGCTTTAAAAGACTTACAATCTGATATCTTAAAACCTGTTACACCTTGTCTACTTTATCAGACAGTTTGTTTTCCTGGAAAATATTTTTATACTTTCACCCCAGCTCTTTCTCTCTATTTATAGTTGACTTTTGGAATTCGAACTTTTACTTAAAATACCTATCGATAACTCCCTATCATTGAAATAAAGAAGAGAACTTTCTTCAACTTGTTACCTAAAATAAACCTCAACTAAATAAATCACGAGAGAAACAAA